ATGACGAGAGGCTATACTCGCCATTGAAGAGGCTAAAATTAAGAATCTTGAATTCCGGAGGATACTCGAATTTCTCGACGTATAATGGATATGGATGAATGTACTTAGGGATCTTCGACCTTCTCTTCATAGTCGAATCTATCATCTAATGGATTCCTCTACGCAACAACCAATGACTCTCTTTTGTAGCCGATGGCACGTGTTCCACTAATCGAAAGTAGGCCATGAATAGGTTCAAGATCAACCTTGTTACCATTATGGGTTGATCTTGATATGTGAAGACTCAGGCCTTTCACTTCCTAAGAGAATTTTCTTTTTGGGCACAAGAAAATTATGCGTTTGTTTTTCAGCAATAGCTCTACTCTCCCAAGACTCATTTACTGATAACTCCAACCAACGATTTGCTTTGTGATGGCAAAAATTCGCTTTTTCTTGTTTGAGACTCAGGTTACCAATCTTGCACTCAAGGATGACCTCATGATGTCGAGTGTGTTCTTAGAGTTTACACCGAAAAAATACTTTTGGTGGATGATGCTTCATCATCATCGTTGGCATATTCTTTAATTGTTCATTCTAGAAGGCCAACGTCAGCAGGCTGAGTGATCTGAGTAATGACCACTGCCAAATGTCTCTGTCCGTCGAGCTTAATTTATATCTCTCAGCGTGGTGTAGAGTCGGGGGTAACGGCAGCAGGAGGGTCCTGTGCCGATTCTGTAATGGGGGGTACTACCGTTTGATTTACAAATACTTGATTTCTGGTTGTTTTTCACATCGTTGGCTTTTTCTTGATGCTGCGTGTCGATGCAAATTTTCACCGTCTCTAACTTTGATAAAAATGCACCTGCAAAACAATTAACATCTTTGATTAAGAACCTAAGCCTCACGAGCCCACGAGGTAGGGGGAGGTTAGGCCAATGGATCTTTGATGCTTAAGTTAGTTTCTCTGAGAAGAGTAAAATGTTTAGGGCTCTTTAGGGTAGCCAAAAGCTTCTGAAATTTGGTAGAATATGGGGTATATATAGGTGAGAGGGACGACCATAGCGTTAGGGTTTTATCCTACACATGGCGGCATCCTATTGGCCAATGTTTATGGAGAAATATTGTCAAGATATTAAATAGGAGTAATTATCCCTAATTGATTTAAATTGGGATTACTTACTTTATTAGAGTCAATACTTACTTGATTGGAGTCACTCTTCAATTGGGAATGTATTAAAGATAGGGTTTGGTTAAAGATAGGATTTAGGTAATTAATCCTTATCTTTAATGCCTTGACTTTTCCTTGCCAATGGCAGGTGAGCTGTGGGCAGTCGTATTTAGCTGCTGAGACCTTCAGAGGTGTGAGCTGCTTGTCGGAGTATCTGAGGAGTCTGCCCATTTATTGAGGGCAATCTTGTCTTTCTTGAGCAAAAGTCCACGTGTCGCGTCTAGAATTTTTGGGATTATTTTAGGCTCCACACTGCGTGTTTCAATGGTCATGAACTTCATAGTTATTTAGCACTAGGTCCTACAGGGCGTGCCAACATGTTGACCCTAAAAACTACTTAACCTACATGACGCTCAGGCTGAATAGTTAATGAGCTAACTATGTCATTTGGATAAATATGGGACGTGCTAACTCGATGACCGAACTCGATCAATGAGTAAATGAATGTGGTAGTGATGGTGTCGAACGCGCTGCTGACTTCTATATCTTGCGATTACGACCAAGGAAAGAACTCGTCTCGACCTTTGGGTTCTAGAGCCTAAAGACAAGGCCGCTAGTATATGCAAAGTTCATGAACCATCTGTACCGAGCTCGGCTGCTTCAATTATATTTGTTCAAAAATAAATGCGTTGAATCAGTACTAGACTATATGTACACAAATACTCAAAAAAGATAAGTGTCTTAATTGTAAAATTGGTTCGGCCGTCGAAGTGCTGAACTCTGAAATGTACTTGTGAATATTCAATCATAAAATATGTTTAGCTTTCAATGTGTCGAACGATATAACCTGGTAACACCTCACTTCGTTGAGAAAGCTAATACAGTGACCTCTTCCCAACAAGGACTCAAATAATCTTTGTTGATAGAGACTTGGATAGATAGTCAGCCTAACTTGGAGTAGTGTTGTCCAATATAAACTGTACGATGCTCCACGACATCTAACTATGATGCCAATGTTGTCCAATATAAACTGTAAGATGTTGTCGGTTGCCGAGCACAATGTTGTCCAATACAAACTATAAGATGTGCTCGACGAGGTTGTCAAACACAGTGTTGTCTAATACAAACTGTAAGATGTGTTTGATGAAGTTAGGGAAGTTAGTGTTTTCTCAAAGATGAGAGCGTTTCGCATAAAGCGAGAAATTGCGCAAGGCAAATTTATGTGTTGCATTGAAGGTCTTTTGAATGTTGCAAACCCTCTTCTATTTATAGGAGTGATTTTCACCAAGTGCAGAGGTAGAGTCCCACTCGAACTAAATCTCCTTGACATGTCTTGATCCAGTAACAAATTATCTTCTCATTTGAATTGAACTTGGTCGTTCCTTCCAGACTTAGGACTCTGAACCTAGTCATCTCTTGGTATTCAATTCACTCCTTGTTTTAATCAGATTCTTAAAATATTACGAATCTTATTATGCCAACCTGATCCTTGAGGACTCCTAATTGAATCAGGACTTAGCCGAATTCATTCTTGATTTTCAAGTGTCCATCCTTAGTTCAAACTTGGCTAAACCACTTTGGGATAGGCTTCTTATCCAAACAGGCATGGGACTCAAGTTTGTCTTCTTATGGCTCGAGCTCATAATCTTACTCGGCCCAACTCCATTATTTTGGGCACAAATAGAAGGTTATAACAAAACCAATTACTACACAGCATCAGTAGGTTATGATGGAATTGATAAAACAAGAGAGAGAAGATGTCGGGGTGGAAGAACATTATGAGCACAAATGATCGATCATCATGAAATAGTCGACATTGTAGATAAATTACAAGTGTGGGTATAGCAAGTTGTTTTGGTACAAAAACACCATTGCGTTGTGTTATGTGTACTATTTTAGTTGCAGTTTCTCCACTAATATGGCTTTGCCTTGACAAGTTAAGAATATATCTATCAGCTGGTAGAGGGTAATGGCAATTAGAGAGAAAGGGCAATAAAATTACCCTTACTTTTCATTATAAACAGTAATTGCCTTTATGCAAGTCCAATAGTTTGAAAGGACGAAGGGCAAGGCTAAAGGCTATTACTATTTACAAATATATTTTTTAATTTTAAATGTTTAGTTAAGTGTGTTGAACTTTGAATGTTTTTAATAATTTTTATTTTTAATATATGGTTGGGTATTTGTAGAAAAAAAAATTGGTTATTTTTTTGGAATTCTTTAGTAACATTTTGGGTTTGTCAAGGATTTTTTATTTTTTATTTTTTTGTTGGAAAACCAACGGTCTAGATTAATGGACCATTGGAAATCCAACCATAGGAATGCACCAGGAAAGAGCCATTTGACTCATGTTCTCATCATGTGGGGGGACCAACGTTTGTTTGCTTGAGGAACTTTGGGGCGTCTGCCCTTGCAACAATTGGCAGGGCGGCTGCCATGCTGCCTGCCCTTGCATCAATTGCCATCTGATTTTTCAACTTCTGGAGCAGTTTTAAGAGGGTTAGGGGGCAATTAAACCTAATTGCAGGGGAAATTCCACACTGGTGGAGTTGCTCTAACGAAGAACTGAAGTGCATCATGGACAAACTCAAGGAGAAGGAAGCCGAGGCAAACAATATCAAATTGCAAGCAATTGCAGTGGAAACTTGTAGCCCACTCGCAAGAGAAACAAGTTTGGTTCATAAATATATACGCAATGGTTAATCACTAGTTGTACATTCTTTTGTTAAAGATAATAAAATTCGTTCATGTTCTTTTCAATTGAAATTATGTGAGTTCAACACTAAACTGCCACTCTCATATTTCTGTAATCGAGATCTTGACTAAATTTATGCTGCTCAAGAGAGTTTGTTATCAAGTTTATCTCTATTGCTCGTGACTTAATTTTATTCCTACCACACAAGTACATAGACATAAAATATAACAGATTTAGCATAGAGGGACTAACGCTACAGATTTTATCAAATTTAGTGACCAAATTTAATGGGTGTTGAGTTCAAGGACAACAGATACAATTAAGTCGTAGTTTAAGGATCATAACTTAAATTTACTCTTGATTTAGTGATATTTCTATTATCAAGATTGAAGGTTGTCTTAATTACAAATCCTCCCTTGAATAGGAAAAAAAAAATTGAAAATGTGTAGTGCAAAATGGAATAGCACATGGTAATGAATTAACAAAACTTGAGCTTCCATTTTTACAACTTCTTAAGTGAGATCGAAACCATACTAAGAAGACTCTTTCAAAAAGGGGACTCTTAATGGATTCTCCACATCTCATTTTTTTTTCACAGTATTTTATAATATTGACACAAAAATCGTGTTAAAAACATAAAGTGACGCAAAATTTATGAATAGCCTCATTAAAAAAAAAAATCTCCTTAATATTTCTCTTCGAAGTAAAATATTATACCTTGTTAAACCACACGCACTCACTTGTGACTTTTGACTTTATGGGCACACACAAACAATAAAACCTTAAAATTTGTGACAGTAGCACTATGACTGATTGATTGATGAGTGTAAAATCCACATTCCTCCAAAGCAATATAAAATCTAAAATTAAGATTTAACGATTAAATATTCAGAGTACAAAATGTTTCGGAGCAATTAAGAATTTTTGGTCGAAAGTGATGTCACTCTGCCTACAAAGCAAAGAACCACATATGAATAAATTGGGGAAGAGATCCAGTCCGGATCTCTCCCATCAAAGGTCTAGGATCAAGTGATCCGAACCGTTAAAATTTGATCAACAGCTATAAAATTTGACATGATATTTATAGCAACCCCATGAATTCCCTTGAATTCATTATCAATCAAGACAACAATTTAGATAACATGGACATATTTTCATTATAATATTTCGTACTAACAATACAATGTTATGTAAATAAAAATTTACATAAATTGATTATTAGAATGAGACATCAAGAGTGACGGGTTATTCCGTGCCATGTAATTCTTTCACAAGCAACCAGAGTCTTTCAGGTTTCATCATTTGTTGCTTTGCTCAGCCAACCACTGAAAATTGGTTGAATTGGAGTGTGATTCAACTTCACAATCCCAGAACTTTGGTTAACATACACTAGGATGAAAGCACTGGGATATCCTCAGCTTCCACGTGTGAACCTGCTAATGGTCCACTTGGCATTCCCTGGTTGCTTCTCCGAAAAGAAAACATTGGCCGTTTCCTTCGCGCTTAGCTTTTTTAGGCACGCTCCCTACAAATTGGAAACCGGTGGCTTGTGTTTCTGTCCCTTGTTTAGAGAGAGAGAGAGGCATGTCCTTTGCAGCAATTCAGATAAAAAGACAAGTAAAAAAAAGATCACTTTTTTTCTTATTTTGTTGACGTTGTTGTTGTTTCTGCATAATTTTCAGGAGATTTTGATCGAAAAAGATAACCCAGAAGGAAATTATAACAACCCTTTTTAGAATTATAAATACTTTTGTATCTGAATTGGGTTTTCCAGCTGAATCCGAATTCGGAGGGAAAAACGTAGAAACCAACAGAGAGAGAGAGAAAGGGGGAGAGGTTTGAACTTTAAACACAGATCCTAGCATTTGAGGCTGGATTTTGATTTGGGTTACCTTTAAAAGGGGAAACAAGATTTGGGTATTGATCAGAGAGGAGGATAGGGCGGTGGAAATTGGAATTTGAGGTGTTTGGTGACTGGGAAAATGGATTTCTTGCCAGAGTTTCTTGTGAGCAGTTGGGGAAGAGAGTTTGTGGCAGGAGGGGTTGGAGGGATGGCTGGTGTGGTCTCTGGTTACCCCCTCGACACTCTCCGGGTCTTGCAACAGAGTTCGCCTTCGGGCTCGGCCTTCAGCATCCTCCGTAATGTGGTCTGCGCTGAAGGCCCAATTGCCCTCTACAGAGGCATGGCTGCTCCCATGGCAGCTGTCACCTTCCAGGTTCTTCTTCTCCGCCTCCTTTTTTATCTAACAAAAATTGGGTTAATTACATTAACACCCTCTGAGATTTATCGAATTTTTACAAAACCCCCTCACATTTGAGACATTACACTAACATCCCCTCACATTTGAATTCACTTTCAAATAACCCCTTCAGTCAAAGTTCTACTAATAAATTGACAACTTTACCCTTATAACTAATTAATTAAATAGAAATATATTAGTAAAAAAAAACATTAAAAATGAATTAAACATTGAAAGAATAAATTAAAAACTTAAAATTAGAAAAGGCAAAAAAAAAAAAAAAGTAAACCTAAAACCCTTCCCCAATTTCACTCCCCGCCATTTTCCTTTCTTGTTGTCCCACCATTGCCACCTTCATCCTTTTTCACTCCCCTGCCCCACCCTCACTACTCACTACCCCGCCACTGCTTTAACAATTTTGCAGGCCAAAGCCATCTATGGCTTCTTCAATCTTTCTCTCATTCTCTTCCTGTCTCATCCTGCATCTACTTCCTCTCAACAAAAACTCCATTGGGAGAGGGGTGAGTTCTCAGGCATCTTGGATACATCGACTCCGATGACTTAGAAAAAAACCTTTGCTCTTTCCACTTCATCTCCGCTCGTTCCTCTTTGTGAGGAATAAGGTGGATCGGAAGAACAATGCCAAGGCCTAGGTCAACACTGTCACTGAGACCCTGTTCGACGCCATTGAGAAGAAGTAGTGTCTTTATGCTCTTGAGGCTTTTGCCCTTAATCTAAAGAAAAATTAAGAAAATTCTCATCTTTGTCTGAACAATATGACTGATGAGGCATTTTCAATTCTTAACCTGATGAAGACTCTCCTGCAATGCCAGTCTAATGTTTTTACTAACAGTAACTTCATAAAGGTTTGCATTTGATTTATTTGATTTTAAAATTTTAATTTATTTTTTAATGTTAAATTTATTTATTTTTAATATTTTTTTCTAATATATTTCTTTATTATTTAATTAATTAGTTACAAGGGTAAAGTTGTCCATTTATTAGCAAAATTTTGATTGAAGGGGTTATGTGAAAGTGAATTAAAACGTGAGGGGCTGTTAGTGTAATGTTTCAAATGTGAGGGGGTTTTGTAAAAACTCAATAAACCTCAGGGGGTGTTAGTGTAATTAACCCAACAAAAATTATCTCATAATTATTCTACTTTCTTTTTGTTTCAAATTGATTGATTTTGTTTCTTAATGTTGATCACAATATGTCCGTTAGGTGAATTAATTCATTTGCTTTTAGCATTTCTTGGAATAGTAATGTGACAACTGTTTGATAAAATTCCATGTACATAAGATGTCACACTAGTCGTGTCCTGTAGCTCAAACTAATTACACACAATTGCATGTTAAACTGTCTTTTTAAGTTAGTTCAGAAAAAAGTTTCAACGGCATTATAGGATTGAATATAACAAATAATAAATGACTAAAATTGAAAATAAAGATATAATAATATGAAAATCATATCTAACAACTAAAATACTTATAACTTTAAAAATGAATATTTAAATTTAGGTATAGACGAAATTTATGATTAGAATTTTCTTATAAAAAAGACGTGATGAATGGAGTGGGATTAGCAAATAGATAATAGAAGTAGAAAACAAAACAAAATCTGGTTGTTTGGTCATAGAGATTCTTAACGTTACGAGTGATGGGTCAAATCACAAGTGTGATTACGTGTTTGCAATAGGGTTTGGTCCTTTTGTAGTTTAGTGACTTTTGATAGTGTTAAGTATTTGCATTTCAAACGTCTTTGAAATCATGAGAATTGCATTTTGTTTCTTTTTAGAAGTAACTATCTAGCAATGGACCATAATTTACTCTTATTCTAAACTTGGGAGGGGTGACACTAGAGTTTAGTTACGGTGCAATGAAGGGAGAAATTTGGTTTTACCTGCGAAATTATCATTTTATTTCATTTTTTATGTAAATATGGGCATGGTTTTGGTTTGTGGGTTTGGGCCCCATATGTGGTGTGGAGTGAATTTGTGGGTTTGATCCTATGGTGTTCCTTGTTAGAGTAATGTTTTTACTCATTTAAGCTCATGTAAGTCTGGCACAATTGGTTGTGGGTATGGCAATTTAACCCGTTAAATTCGATCCCTGTAAGTAATCGATCCGAATGGTTCTGTTTTGGGTATAAAATTTCCGGTATTTTACGGGTATGGGTAACCGTCGGGTAAATTTTTCGGTTTCGGGTTCGGTTATGGTTATTGGGGTATCCACCCCAAACCCATACCCGAAACCGAACCATTTCATCTATAAATAAATAAAATATAAATATTTATTATATGAAAATGGGTTGTTAATAATCATGCATTATTAAATATTAAGTTAATTATTTACTTTTATATCATTAATTATAGGAATTATATGCTTATAATTTTTAAGAGTGTAAATGTTTTCTTAGTAATACAATTTTTTAATATTACTTATTAGATGCATTGTATATCAATTGTATTAATAATAGCAATTTATTTAATATCTTTTTTTTTTTAAATATTCTTCATTTCGTTAATAATGTAAATAAATATATAAATCTCATAATGGGGAAAACCGTTCCCCGATCAAAAAGCCATCACCTGACGGGTTTGGTTATGGGGAAAACCCGTTCGGGGATTCTATGGGTTCGGGTTTGGGGAAAATAAACAGGTTCGAGTTTGGGGATGGCACATCTGAACCCAATCGGCCCCGTTGCCATCCCTAGTTGTGGCCTATTTAATTGTATCTAGTATCTCTTTAAGGTTAACGGTGAATTAGTGGAGATGTAAGCACACTTAGTTGTATTGTTGTTGAAAACAAATGTATTTTTTTAATGTTGCTTTAATTTCATTTTGAGTAGAAAATAAACAAGATTTATTTTTCTTATTCTTTGTCTTGTACAAATATATGGTATTAAAACTTTTAGTATATTTTTTTAATTACATGCTAAATTTCTCTACCCACCGCAACGCATGGGCATGAATATTGGTACCAACTGAACTTATCAACTTGCAAATTGATATTGTTCTTGCTTGAATACTAGAAAATCTGTCTTGTGCCACATTGTATATCATTTTGTATTTATCTATTTTATTATGTGATTTTGGTCATGTAATACGAAGTTAGATACAAGAGTATATACAATCAAAGGTTTGTAAGAATATTCTAAAATATATGATTTTGGTGCATCAAAATCACTTTTACATAACCTCATGCACTGAGGTTACGTGGAGAACTATGTGTTTGGAGTGTCAAAGCCATTTCCCATACATAAACCCTAGAATAAACAAAAATTCTATGTAAAGATTAACAATGTAGATCAATTTTTTTTTGCATGCTTTGTGAATGCTAAGTTTCTGTAACATAACTTTCAATGTTTCGTATCAATTTTAGTAGCGGTATTTTCTAGTATACCATAGGTACTTTATTCTCCTAAGTTTTTAATTGTTAGATTCGTGATGAAAAATAAGGATGGAGCTCTAACAACTAAAAATCTCTGATCATAAAATTTTAAGAGTCTTAAGATATAGCTAGCTAGTCAGCCCAATATGACTTGAAAAAGACAGAGAACTAGACTTTGCAAAACGAATTATAACTGAAATTCTTTCTTGCTTGAATTAAAAGTAGTGGCTAGCCGCACCGCTACAATTAATCTAGGTATTTAAAAATTAAGAAAGGGTGCTAGACCTGTTAGATTGCAACTCTCATTTAGACAATTCGATACTTACATGAACACTCATTATATGTTGGTTCTCGTGTTTTCAATATGTTCTAATGTTCTTTAATTCATATGTCATTTTATTTTGCAATTTATTTATTCCAATACAATTATGTATATTAATATTTAATAAATTTAATTAAAATTAAAAAATAACTGCCTAGGTGCTAAACCGCTACCAGCCACCCGACTAGGGGGCCTTTTAGAACCTTGATTAAAAGCAATTTTAAAATTTGTGACCAAATTAAGCATAAACCATCCAATTCAAAATAATTGTTCTAAGCTGGCAAATGATTTGTGCATTGCAGAATGCCATGGTTTTCCAGGTATACGCTATCCTCTCCCGAACCTGCGATCCTTCTGTTTCCGCCAAAGACCCTCCTTCGTACAAAGGTGTTGCTCTAGGAGGATTTGGCACAGGTGCTATACAGAGCCTACTACTCAGTCCCGTAGAACTTGTAAAAATCCGACTTCAACTCCAACGTGATGCAAAATCAAAACCCCATCAGCTGCAATCTCACAACGGCCCTATAGATGTTGCCAAAAGCATAATGAGAGCAGAAGGCTTAAGGGGAATATATAGAGGACTTTTTATTACTGTCCTTAGGGAAGCGCCGTCTTATGGCTTATACTTCTGGACTTACGAGTACATAAGAGAGAAGCTTCACCCGGGCTGCAGAAAGACCGGCGAAGAGAGCTTGCAAACAATGCTGGTGGCAGGAGGGCTAGCGGGAGTTGCCAGCTGGATTTGTTGTTATCCCTTAGATGTTGTGAAAACGAGATTGCAGGCTCAAGCTCCATCTCAGTACCTTCCACCGAGATATTCCGGCATTGCTGATTGCTTTCGGAAGAGTGTGAGAGAGGATGGTTATGGGGTGCTATGGCGAGGATTAGGAACTGCGGTTTCTAGAGCATTTCTGGTGAATGGGGCAATTTTTGCTGCTTATGAGATTGCCCTAAGGTGCCTATTCAGCAACAGAAGTGGAGCCATTCAGACAGAGAAGATGCAATCTAGCTAGGGAAGATTTATGCCCACCACAAACATTTAAACAAGACAAGAAATTTGTATGATAGACCATTATGATTGCTGCATTACTTGATGTATTCTGAACTTTTCAAAGAAAATAAATGTCAAATATGAAATGTATGATTCAGTTTCTGTTGTAAAATTGAATAAAAACTAGAATATGATTCTGTTTTATGTTGTTATTAGCTGCCCTTTTTTTTTTTTTTTTTCAAATCTTACTGTGTTCTTACTGTTTTTTCAAACAATTAAATGTAGTGAAAATAGTCGGATACAAATTATATGATATATTGAAAACAAACAATACAACAAAGTAAACTCTCATTTATAATTGCCTAGGTTTCTGACCCTTATGCCACAAGAAAGATAGATGCTGATAGAGTTGATGTGTATCTAAGATTATTACAAGTGTCATTAGATCACTGGTTTTCTCTTAAGCTAGTTAGTTGAGCAGTGGCTATTGGCTTATCCTGTAAACTATAAATCTAAACATCATCAATTGAAATTCAGTTGAAACAAATTTTCCTCTCTAGCTCTCTCTCTCTTGATTCTTTCGTTGGCTTCTTCTTCAAGATTGTATACAAAGTTATCATGGTATCTTCGCCGGACATGGCCTCTGCCTCCGGTTGACGATCATTTTGCTTCCGCTTGTTTTCTTCTTTGTTAGTGTGTTGAGTTGTTGTCGGTGGATTTTTCAGATTGTTCATCTAATTGTGATCCCAGTTGATTTTTGGTTGCTGTGCATTGGTGGATTTCTGATCAAGTTTGTAAGGTTGCTCTTTTCATAATACTTCCTATTCATGGCTTAATTTCTTGTAAACCTACGATTCTGTGTTGTTTAGTCTCTATAAACTCTAGAATATGGGGATTTTCTTGATCAGTTGATGATTTGTTGTTGCATCTCTGCCACAATGTTTACCTCTGCACTATCTTGTGTAGTTGGATGTCAAAGTTCCAAGGAAATGTGGACCATTCTGCTTGAAAGGTTTGCCAGTGTCACTAGAACTAGTATACTTCAGCTAAAAATAGATCTCCAGAACATTAAGAAAGGGCAGAGTCCATAGATCAGTATCTAGAAAGGATTAAGGAGTTTAGGGATCAACTAGCTCCTGCTCGTGTGACCATATTTGATAAGGACATTGTGATTGTCGCATTTCAATCATCCGATTTGTATACTTGCGAGTACTAAAATTCGAGACTTAATGAGGTTAATTTTGATCATCTAATTTTCGCAACAAGTTTCTGGCGCCGTTGCTGGGGATCCAATTTGATTCTAATACTTACTTATTGGATTGTTACATCTTTTAGTTGGTTTAGCTTTAACGTTAATTGTTAGTTTTTTTTCAATAATAAATTATTTCCTAATTCTCTTGCTAGCTTACTCATGTGTTTAATGTCTTTGCAGAAAATTGGAGTCACTCAGCTTTGATGCCAATACAAAATCAAGTTTGGGGGTGAATTTCCATCTACATCTTCGTTTGCCGCTTCTTTAAAACCGGGAAGTTTTTTTTTTGTCCAAGAGCTTTAATCATTTATATTTTTTTGTACCTTTGTGTCCAGTTTTATTATGCTTATTTTTAATTTTTTTTTTCATTCTTTTTGTTTTAGTTCCGAAAAAAAATAAAAAAATTACATAATTTTGAAAAATCCAAAAACTTTTTATTTTTCTTTGAGTCTCGTTCTTATTGGCCACTTCCCAATTCAGTGATGAGATTCGGTCTCTATTTACATAACCTTCAAGAAATTTAAGCTCGACATTAGTTCTTTACCTTATCTTTGTTTTAACCATATTTGTTTATGATCATGATATGGAAAACATATATGCACATAGTCTTGTTGATGTGAAACTAGAGCATAATTTAACGCTTCATATGTGAATCTAATGATCCTATGTAACCTTTGTGAGTTTTTGAGCCTATTATAGATTGAACCATTATGCATCAATCACATTTATTCTTGTGTGTACGATCTCATTTTAACATGTATTTCAAGTATCACATCCCAGTCTCGACTCCGCCGTAGCACGATATTGTCCGCTTTGGGCTTACCATTCCATCACGGTTTTGTTTCTGGGAACTCACGAGCAATGGGTCACTCATCTTGGGAATGCTCTCGCCCGAACTCGCTTAACTTCGGAGTTCCGATGGAAGCCAAAGCCAATGAGTCCCCAAAAAGCCTCGTGCTATATCGAGGTGGGCATGTACATATAAGGCACATCACCCCATCTCCATTGATCGATGTGGGATGTTACATCTAAAACTTGGTTTATGCCTCTCGTTACATTCATCAATTCATGTAAATATTGAAAATGACTTAGGCATTTTTTTTTCTCTTTCTTTGAGCCTTTCTAGCCAGCCTTTATGATTATTTTTCCTAATTTAGCCATTTTGAGCCTTTATGTGAGCTTTTTGTTCTTAAACCTAAATTTTCCCTACCTAACCTTGTAAAGAATTTCCTACCCGTCTAAAAAGCTTGTAGGGTAATTTTTATTAAGAGGAGAGAATTCCAAGTATTGGAGCCTAAATATTGTAATAGAAAAGGAAGAAAAATGATGAGAAGAAAAAAATTGATGAGAAAAAAAATGCTGTTTGCAGTAAAAAAAAAAAAATTAAATAAATAAATAAATAAAGGAAAATTTTGATGTTGTAAAGAAAAGAGCGTTTCAAGGTTAACCAAATGAATAAAGTTCTATTTTTGTGCTCAAGTTCTTAAAAGTGCTTTATGGGTTTAAAGAATCTCTATCTCTCCAATACAATTGTAATGCTCTACAAGTTAATTAGACTTTGTGTTTTTCATACCCTTTAATTGTTTAGCCAATTAACACTAAGCCTCATTACAACTCTGTGAAAGACCTTTTGATTCAAAAAGTTACTTGATATTTATAGCGAGTTAGGTGGACAAGCAAGCATATGGCGGTATGTTTTGTGAGATCATTTGAGTGAAACATATTAACCCACAAATATGAGTGAATGAGTGTATGCGTGAGAAGCTCTTTGTATGCATATGATAATTTTAAGAAGCTTGGAATTGCATTGACATGACTATTACACACACTACACTCCAAGTTGGTTTGATTCAAATTTGGATAATGTCGTGAACTATTGTTGTTAATTTCTTGAAAGTTATCTCACGGTTGGGTTTTCTCCATTTTTTTGTCGAGTCTTTGTGTTTTCTTTTGTTATGCTCGAGGACTAGCAAAGTCTAAGTTTGGGGTTGTTTGATGTGGTCATATTTCATATGTTTTTATCATATATTTCCTTTGGATTTTGTGTATTCAAATTGGTTAAGTTTTAATATATAGGCTTTAGTACCGAAGTTATGCAAAAAAGAAGTGAAAAATGGTGATTTCAGGTATCTAGGGTAATTTCAATGGAGCAAGAGTTGAACTAACTGCACGAAAACATGTGCATTCCAACAAGAAGATGAGATTGCAACGGTTTTGGAAATCAAATCGACATGGGGACACTATTCATTGGATTTTAGGAAAGAACTTAACTACTAGTTTTATTATTTCCATTTATTTTTCCTTTTCTTAAATAAGGTCTTAAAGTCCATTAATTAGTTAGTGGATTTTGAACAAGGTTCTAAAATACGCTAGGCCCTAGTCGGGTGACGGGCTGGCGCCTAGGCAAACTAGGCGGATTTAAGTAAATCCATTATATTTCGTGTAAATAAATGTCAGTTTATACTTCAAACATATTTAATTTCATCATAAACTACAAGCATATAATGTGTGCTCATTTAAGTATTCAACAAGTATCTTACAATTTATTGAAAAAAATAAAATGCAAAATGAAAGTTATCTATTTTCTGTCTAAGTGAGTCGTAACTTAGGCGGGTGCCTAGGCAGGTCTAGGCGGTTTAGGCGGGTGCCTAGGCGGTCTAGGCGGGTGCCTCAGCAGGTCTAGGCACCCTTTTTTAATTTTCAAACGCCTAGGCATTAATCAGGGTCGTAGCCAGCCACCTAACGCCTAGACGGGGCCGAGGCGGCGCTAGGTCGAGACTTTTAGAACAGTAGTTGTCGTTGGTTACAAAAGGAGATTAAAACTCCTTATGAAAAGGAGGAAGCCACCAAAAACCAAAAATCATCATATTGGAGGAAAAGGCTGCTGCAAGAAGGACAAGAGGAAGAACTTTTCGTCTTTTTATTTTGTTAGGGCTACGATGTAGCCTAATCATGAATATTTAATTGCCTTGTGGCATTGTTATTATCAAGTTTTTCTTCCTTATCGAGTATCTTTTGCTAATCATAATGCACTTGATTTTTATTTAGATGCTTGATCACCGCCTAGGTTTCAATTAAGTTGATTTGATACAAGTTAGAGTAGATGTCATACTTAACTTGGGTTTAGTTTCTTGTAATATACACCTATTTGTAGATGCCATGCAATTAGGGTTTGTGTGATTGTCCAACGATTTCCATAGAGCTTAATGGGTTCTTACTTGTTTAAATTCATCAAGATGCCATAGAGGGTTAACATGTAATGATACTTTTGATGCAACAAGATGTCATGGCCATTGAATAGTTTAGGAAAAATCGATCATCAATATTGGGGAACTACTTGAGCATAAAATATTAAGGGAATTAAGTAGAATTGGTTATGGTGAATTCGGATGCCTTATGTCTTTTTTCTTATGTTTTCATTTTATTATTTACAGGCATTTTATTTCAAGCTTTATTTTATTTCAGTTTAATTCAAAATCTCCTATCTTTTTTGTTAAAACTTCTCAATCATAATTTGTTTCAATTTAGTTGGTAAGACTGTATAATCAATTCGATCTCTATGGGACGATATCCATGCTTATATGCTATACAATCATCCGATTTGTATACTTGCAAGGACTAAAATTCGAGACTGAATGAGGTTAATTTTGATTATCTAATTTAGTTTTGTGACTCACTGCACATTTTGTTAAAAAAATGTCTTGATTTCAAAGAGATCCCACAAACGTTAGCACTTACATTCCTAAAAGTTTCATATTTAGCAAAACCTAAAGTTATATATGATAACCTCAAATCAACAAAGTTCTCTGTTTTGAGAAGGTCGGAAGAAAAACGTATGTCGTACGTAGTCTTACTTTTGTTTTGTAAAGATATTTCCACAACTTGAACCTGTGACCTTTTAGTAAAAGGAGCAATATTTTCATTTTGCCAAGTATACTGGGATTCAAACATG